AGCCATGTCCCAGCTCAAGGCTGTGGCTTGTGTGGCCTTGAGTCCAGGATCTGACCATACTGAGGCTGGCCCTGAGTCCTAAGCACCTTGTGACAAGGGAGGCTCCTTGGGGTGTCCTGAGGGAGGAGATGAGCCTTGTCCCCTCTGGTCTTTCCTACATAACCTCTACCAGCTGTCTGTGAGGTAGCAGTGAGCTGATGAATCACTTGTGAGCTTGTGAGTGCAAATGCCATGGTTCAGCTCTTTTCATCCATGGAGGTGAGGGGGGATGCCCCTCCATTCCATGTTCTGGCAGCTCTGTCCTTTTCTCTGGCCCCTTTGTAGGAGATGCTGGTCCTTTTCACCAGCAGGGAGGCTGCTGAAGTAACATTTTCCCACAAGCTGGTCTGTGGGCTCCTTTAGCCTTGCTAAGAGAATAGCAGAGGGCCAGAGGCCAGGAGGCAGGGGCGGGTGGGACAGTGTGTGACCATGCTTTCTTAGATGGGGGAGGGCGGGGCAGAAGATGAATTTGGGAAATCTGTGTGGTTGGGGACAGGAAGTCCACGGGGGCGGCGGGGAGCCAGTGGTGGCGGGAGAGTGGTCTGAGTGCCAGGCCTATGGGAGAAAAGGGCACAGAGGTGCTCTGGGCTGAGTGGGACGTGCCTCCATGGCTGGAACCTTAATTGATCTGATCTAAATAGCAACTTTATGAAGGTGGACTTTGGGGAAGAAACCCTGGAAACTATGAAGGTTTACTACATAAATTCCAGAATTTATAATGTTCATAAATGAAAAATAGGGTCCTAACATGGGGTCTTGCTTCGTGGTCCAGACACTGCCTGCCTCCTTGTGTCTCTGGCTGTGGGGCCTGGGGGTATGTCACATCTAAGAGGTTTAGGAGTTTCCACTGCTCCACCTCCCGGCAGAGATGCCTGCTGCTGTTCTGGTGCTGCGGCCAGCCAGCTGCTCTTGTTCGTTGTGGCCCTCACCTGCTAAGGACCTCTTGTGAGCCACGAGATCCACTTTGGACAGGGAGGCCACATTGACTCTCCGACTGGTTTACAGAGTCACAGTCTCAGGGTGGAGACCTCGGTACCCTCTGCCCTCTTTGGGGCCGCTGGCCCAGGTCCAGGCTCTGCCTGGGGAGGGCAGGCTGGCTTGCAGGGGGGAGCAGGATTCTCGATAGACTGAATACACTGTGTGGGGGCAGAAGCTGTTTGGTCCCTCATCCATCAGTAGCCCCACTGGAAGGCTGCCTGGGTGGGGTCATACTCATCAACCAAATCAGATATGCAGCCAACACGTCTTCGGTGTCCTGGCAGCATTGGATCCATTGCCTTGATGGATCCCAGTCCCTATCACATCCCCCTATACCTGTTACTCTGCAGCCTCTACAGGGTGCACTCTAGTGGTGTCATTGTATGGGGACTGCCCCCACCCTAGTATCTACCTCCCCTGGCTATGGTTGCAACAGCCAGAGAGGCTGTGGTTGGAACTGACTCTGAAGATTCCAGTGAGCAGCAAGGGGTCCCTGACCCTCAGAAAGGTTCCCACTCCTGGGGGTGAAACAGGGCTGGCCAAGGGGTAGGAGCAACCTCTCGGATGGTCTGTTTTTTGTTTGTTTTAATATTTATTGTTGAGATTATTACAGAAGTCCCTCTTTCCCCCCCCCATTGCCTTTCTTCACCTGGTTCCCACCCCGCCCCAGGCCTTCACCACCCTATTGTCTATGTCCATAGGTAATGCATCTGTGCATCTAAGATCTTTGTTGAATCTCTTCCTGTGCCCCTGTCCCCCTCCCCTCTGAGAATTGTCAGTCTGTTCCATTTCCATACCTCTGATTCTATTTTATTCACCAGTTTATTCTGTTCATTAGATTTCTTATTTATTTTGATTTTTAGATTCAATTGTTGATAGGTATGTATTTGTTGCCATTTTGTTGTTCATATTTTTGATCTTTTTATTTTTCTTCTTCCTCTTAAAGAATACCCTTCAACATTTCATGTAATACTGGTTTGGTGGTGATGAACTCCTTTAGCTTCTTCTTGTCTGTGAAGCTCTTTATCTGACCTTCAAGTCTAAATGATAGCTTTGCTGGGTAGAGTAATCTTGGTTGTAGGTCCTTGCTGTTCATCACTTTGAATATTTCTTGCCACTCCCTTCTGGCCTGCATAGTTTCTGTTGAGAAATCAACTGACAGTCATATGGGCATTCCCTTGTAGGTAACTATCTGCTTTTCTCCTGCTGCTTTTAAGATTCTCTCTTTGTCTTTAGCCCTTGGCATTTTAATTATGATGTGTCTTGGTGTGGTCCTCTTTGGGTTCCTCTTGTTTGGGACTCTGTGCTTCCTGGACTTGTCAGTCTATTTCTTTCACCAGGTAGGGGAAGTTTTCTGTCATTATTTCTTTAAATAGGTTTTCAATATCTTGCACTCTCTCTCTCGCTCCTTTTGGCACCCCCATAATGTGAATGTTGGTACACTTGAAGTTGTCCCAGAGGCTCCTTACACTATCTTCATATTTTTGGATTCTTTTTTTCTTTTTGCTCTTCTGGTTGGGTGTTTTTTGCTTCCTCATATTTCAAATTGTTGATTTCATTCTCAGAATCCTCTACTCTACTGTTGAATTCTTGTATATTATTCTTTATTTCAGTCAGTGTATGCTTAATTTCTGACTGGTCCTTTTCCATTTTTTTTGGAAGTTTCTAGAAGATTCTTGAGTAACCTTATAACTGTGGTTTTGAACTCTGTATTCAGTAGTTTGCTTTCTTTCATTCGTGACATGTTTCTTTGTCTCTGCATTTTGGCTGCTTCCCTGTGTTTGTTTCTATGTATTGGGTAGAGCTGCCATGTCTCCTTGAGTTGGTAGAGTGGCCTTGTGTAGTAGGTGTTTTATGGGGCCCAGTGTCTCAGCCTCCCCAGTCACCTGAGCTGGGAGCTCTAGGTGCACCCCTTTGTGGGCTGTGAGCACAGTCTTCTTGTAGTTGAGACTTGATTGCTGTTGGTGTCACTGGGAGGAATTGAGCTCCAGGCCAATTGGCTGTGAGGACCATCTGCGACTACAGTGGGAGAGCTGCTGTGCAAGAGACCCCCTGTGGAGCAGGACTTGCTTCAGTGGGGCCTTGGTGTTCACTGAGATTGCCCCTTGAGTGTGTCGCTTATGGATGTGTAGAGCTGTAATGTAGTATGGTCTGACATTGACCACTGGGTGCACTGGCTCCAGGGAGGTGCAAAGTCAGCCACTGCCTGGGGCCACCCAGCAGGAGCTACAGAGAGATCTGCAGATTCCTTCTCTTTGTATTGGGTTTGGAAGTGCCCAGACGAGGCCCAGCTATGAAGCAAGGAAGACTGGTGCTGGTGCTGGGTCTTAGGCCTTATTAATTTATTTTGGGGCTCCCTGACTCAGCTGCAGCTTGTTTTGAGAGATTTTAGCCTGAGCAAGGACAGGCCATTCATATGCAAAAGCCGCTGCACACAATTTGAGTGCGGTTGTAAATTGGATGAGGCGGGGTCTTAGGGAATCACCAGAGCAAACAGAAATGGCTGCCAGTCAGCCCTGCAACTGGGCAGGTCCCAGCATAGGAACAAGATCCCTGCGAGCACCCCCATCTGGGAGGAAGCTGCCCCCTGAGTTCCTGCCCCAATGCCAGACATTCTAGTTCCTCCTCGTATGTGTCTGTGTTCCCCAGAGCCTTGCCCTGATGCTGGAGCTCAGAGGAAGCAGGACCTTGTAAGTTCAGTTCATGGTGCCAGCTTTTTAAGAGGAACAGCTGGGTCTGCAGCAGCCTCTGTGTCACTGAGCCCTAATCCGCACTGGTTTATACAGCCCAGATTTCTTCTTTTCCCAGCTCTGGGACTCTGGGCTGGGGGTCTGGTGTGGGGCTGGGACCCCTTGCTCTTCGCAGAGACGATCTCCTTCCCTGATTAAAAAAGCGGCACACGTGGGTGCCGGACCAGCCTGTTCCACACCTCCTACCAGTCTCAGTGTGCTTTCTTTACTTCTCTAGTTGTAGGACTTCCATTCAGCCAGCTTTCCTGTGGTTCTGGATGATGGTTGTTCTGTATGTTAGTTGTAATTTTGATGTGGTTGTGGGAGGTGGCGAGTACAGGCATTTACCTACGCCGCCATCTTCTGTCCTCCTGATGGTCTGTTGTTAGACAGCTTGGACTCTGGGACCGCTACCCAATGGGTGGAGCTTCCTTGGTGACCAGCAGTCACTGTAAAGCTCTGGGAAAATGAGGTTCTGTTCCATGTGCCTTTGACCCAGGCCATCGCCCTGACACTCAGTCCTGCACACTCGCCCAAGGAGTAACCCCAAAATGAGAAGGGCAAGCACTGGCCGCAGAGGCCCATGTCTTGGTGTCCTTCAGAAGCAGACCCACAGTGTCAGCCCTGCCTTTAAGAGCTTTCCACTAAGGAGAGTCTGTTAGTCACTCTCGTGGGACGGTTTCCAAAATGAAAAAGAATCAGCTTTTCTTTTTCTTTCTTTGTTAATCCTCATGTCCAAGGATATTTTTCCATTGATTTTTAGGGAGAGTGAAAGAGAGAGAGAAAGACAGAGAGAAACATTGATGTGAGAGAAACACATTGATTGGTTGCCTCCTGCAGGAGCCCCAACCAGGGCCCAGGCCAGGGAGGAGCCTGCAACCAAGGTACATGACCTTGATCAGAATTGAATCCGGTACCCTTTGGTCCGCAGGCCGATGCTCTATCCATTGATCCAAACCGGCTAGGGCGATCAGCTTTTCTTTAGAAATCTTTTGTCCTGTGAGGAAAGAGATTCAATACACAATTGCCTTGCCTCACAGTAGCTAAAGGAAGGTTACCTAGTTACAAAACAATTTCAACTTGGCTTAGACTTGAAATGGTGACAGATAGGAGTTGGAGGCTGCAGAAGGCAGGAGGCATACAGCACTACTTGGGGTTTCACTGAAGTGCCATGAACGTTGATCTGGTTGTGGGTTAGCTGTGGGGCCACTGCTTTCTTGTCCAGGATTCACATTGGTGCTTTGTTCTTTGTAGGATGAAACAGGTGCCTATTTAATCGACAGAGATCCCACCTATTTTGGGCCCGTGCTGAATTACCTGAGACATGGAAAGCTGGTCATTAACAAAGACCTTGCAGAGGAAGGTGAGTTGAGAGTGGGATCTGGTGAAGATGACAACTGGACCCTCTGGGCCTGAACAGGCTCTGTGCCCCGGGGGCCAGGCTGGCGTCTTGAGTGCCCTTGCCCCCTGCAGAAGTCCTAGGTGCCCAAGTCTCCTCACTCGCCCCCCTGCTTTCTCACAAATGTGTCCCATGAGGCAGCAGATGCTGGTCTCAGAGAGGTGAGAGGGCTGTTTGGCATGGCCTCTTCCCCTTTTCTCCTCCAAGAAGTGAAGGCTCATTAGAGCCAGGCTGGCCTGTCAGGACCTTTGTAGCAGAAGGGCCTGGGGACTGTGGTTCAGGCCCCTGCAACCCCACTCCCTGGCTGCAGGGCCCCCCTGACTGTGGGTAAAACTATGGGCTCCCTCCTCCAAGTGTCTAGTTAGTGATGCATGAGGGTGGGGACTCCTCCCTTGGGAGACCACCCATTCTCAGATGCTTTGGCTTAACAGTCTGAGGGTGGTGTGTTAGGAATGTGCCCACCATGCGAGTCTCCCAGGTGTCCCTCTGCCTCAGTCACCCCGGGTCTGCTCTCCTTCCAGGGCACCACTGTATTATCACCTTTGAGTTCTGTCTGCATGTCCAAATGCCGTACTACATTCCGACTCAGGTCACAAGGAGCAGGGATGCCAGGCGCAGCCCTGTGGGCACCGGGTCTAAGGCTGGTGTATGCATGCTCTGTGTGTGCTTGGCTCCACGCACCAGGGAGGTCTGGAGAGGTTCAGGGCCCTATGACTCACAGTGGGCTCTGGCTTCTCTGCTCTGCTTGTGTCCTGGATTGACTCAGTACTGAACTTTGTCCTCCCTCAGCTCTCATCACGTCTTACTCCATGTCTTCTCTGGAGCGCTTTTTTCTTGCTCACACACTTGTATGGTTTGGGATACCCTTCCTTTGTGTTGTGTGTGGGCAGCTGTACAATTTGAAGCTAAACTTCACAGCCTCTTCTCAGTGCAATTTGCTTAGAAAGGGGTATTTGATGTGACCAAGCACTGCCAGTTGGCCTCGCTCACCTGCTTTCCTACTGGACTGAGACAGTGTTTTCAGGAGCAACACCCATGTGAACACCATTTCCTGGTGTTGCCCTTCCGAGTATAGTGCATGGAGTGTCCAGGTGGAAGAAAGATGTGCCCTTTAGGCCCAAGCACTTGTCCTAAAGCTTCCGGTGCTCATTTGTAATGCCCTTCAGTCCCCACCCATGGATCTGAAGAGAGGAGTTGACAGTTGCCTTAAGTCATCCTGAGAAGAAACAAACTAGATTTTGCCTCTCTTTGGGTGGCTACTGCCTGCCCCAACCTTCACCCTCTGTCGTCTCACCTGGGGACCTTGTTAGGAGGCAGCCTGAGTGGGTCTGGCAGCTGTAGTCCACAGCTCTGAGCTCCTGGTGTTGCCAGTGGGAACTGTACCGTGAAGAGTGAGGTCTAGCCAGATGACCAGGCTCACTCTGAACCTTCTGGAATACCCATGAGGAATCCCTGAAGCAGAGCCTCTCTAATTTGTTTTTTAGAATTCTTAGAGATTTCAAGTCCCTAAATGAGGTACATTACAAATGGCCATCTTTGGGGGAAAAAGAAGTTCCTAAATTGGAAAAAGAGTCCTAGAGTGAAGAGCTATGCCCTCAACCAGCCACAGTCTAACACTTGAATAGGAAACTGATGTGCTGAATGACTCAGAGACCTGCACAAGGCCGCCTGGCCAGGCCTGAGCCTCTCACGGAGGGGAGGAGAGAGTTGGCCAGCCCAGAGAGACAGATGCAGGCTGTGGAGGGAAAGATGCCTGTGTTCCATCCCACATGCCCAGCGTGGAGCTCGCAGTCCACACTCGTGGACCTGTGTGTGAACCAGCTGTATCTGAGTTCTGCACCCAGCAGGTCACGTGGAGGGATTCATGCAGAAGTATGTTCAGTAAACACATCATTCTCCATGTGAGCCTACTGCGCCAAGTCCTGGGGAGCCCTACTGAGAGCCAACAATGTCTGCGTGGTGACTTTTGGGTGTTAGGTTGGGGGCTGAGGAGCCTTTAGTGGTCAGGCATAGGCCACAGGTCCATAGTGAAATGTTTCTTTTTTGATTTGGTGAAAATTATAGTTATTTTTCTTTATTCCAGGAGTGTTGGAGGAAGCGGAATTTTACAATATCACCTCACTAATAAAACTTGTAAAGGACAAAATTAGAGAACGAGACAGCAAAACATCACAGGTGAGATCAGTGACGAATGTGCTGGAAGCTTCCGAGGCCTGGTGCAAATGTGGAGCTTCCTCCCCTCCCTCCTCCTCATGAGGCCTTGAGATCTGGCTCTCTTATCTTGATGACCGTCTTCCTCTGTAAATGTTCTAGTGCCTGATGGCACCATGGCAGGCATGAAGGGTAAACTCATCTAGCCCCGTCCAGCCTCTCCTCTGGACGCCCACCCCAGTGTCTCTGCTCACTCCCCCTCAGGCTTCCCTGTTCCTCACCACCTCCTCCCCCTCCCTGGACTTTCCTCCACCATCCAGCAGCCCCACTTAATGAGCTGTGTGACCTGGACCAGTACAAACTGTATGCCTCAGTCTTCCCTTGCAGAGTGGCATAGTGGAGGCCTAGGAGCCCCTTGTCACAGGGCCGATGTGCGGATTAGAGGGCTCAGGTGAGGTAGTACTCCAGTGTCACTCACTGTTTCACAAATTAAAGCAGTGTACTTTAGGCTGTGACCCTGTCACTTGAGTGTCACTAGTGTGAGTCACTGGTTTAACATCACAGAACAGCTTAGCCCTCTACGGCCCCTTCCCCTTGGCTACACACGTGTTGTGTGTGGTGGCCGCCGCCTCCTGCTAGAGTAGCAGCTCCATGAGAGCAGACCCCCTCAGGGGCTCCCAGAAATGCCTGGAACAGAGCTCAGAGAAGGTTGGATGGTGGCCTGCTCAAAAGATATGTCCATGTTTTGGAAGCCAGTTCAGTCCAAGCCAGTTCATGTCTGAGCTGCGGTGCGTGAATGAAAGCTTTGCTAGGAGCAGGGGCCGGGCTGGTCTCGCATTGCTTTCAGGCCTTCCCATCAGTCCCTCCCCAGCTGGTGGGCTCAGGGACTTGGTGTGGTTCCCTGTAGAACAAAGATGGACATCCTCGTGCTTTCACATCTAGACACAGGTGCTCTGGCATTTTAGGAACGTGACTCATTTTACTTTGGAATGTCGCAACTGAAATATATTTGGAGGCAGACAAGGAAGAAGGAAACGGCAGCTGTCCCAGCCTGTTTGTCTTGTTTCGGTGTATGTGTTTGGGGCCACTTCAAGGCATCATGACCTGAGCCTGAGAGGTGGAAAGAAATGTCAGCCTCACCGGGTCTCCTGTTGGGCTGTCTCCAGAATCAGCAACCGGGCAAGATTGCTGGGCTGGGGCAGGAGCAGCAGGGCATGTGGAGCCTGTCTCACCTGTGGCCCTTGTTCTTGCAGGTGCCAGTGAAGCATGTTTACCGTGTACTTCAGTGTCAGGAGGAGGAGCTCACGCAGATGGTGTCCACCATGTCCGATGGCTGGAAGTTTGAACAGGTGAAGCGCACATGCATACCCCCTCCCCCCCACCTGGATTGATGTCAGCCTGTTAATTACAGTGACCCCACCTGGGTCCTCAGGGTTGTTGGCCCCAGGGACCGTAAATAATAAGGCATTGGGCACCTATGATTCTGGAAATGTGGTTTACTGGCCCCTCTCGAAAACAGCCTGTGCCTCGTTGTTTTGGTAGGGAGGGTGGAGTTGTTCTTAGAGTGCCTCTGCCCCACCCCCTCATTCATTCTGCAGCTATTCTTGCTCTAGATCATTTTTTTGGGAGGACTGTTCTCTGAGCTTCTGTCTTGTGTCTAATGTGTGTGTGGTTGACATTCTGGCCACATCCTGGCCTGGCCCAACCTCCCTGTCCCACCTCATGTCCACCAGGCCCCTCCTGTGCTGGCTGAGCAGATGGTGCCTCAGGCTCCTTTGTGCTGGAGGTGGCACCGATGGCCTTCCTGGTGGGACTGCTTTTCAAACCCTCCAGCCCCTTTCCTGCCCTTGATTGGAAAGATGCTGAGGATGCTGGCCTGGCTGTGTCCCTCCACTTTCCTCAACTCTGCTCTTGCCACACACAGGCTGGGACTGATGTGCTGAATGCTGGGTCCTCTCTCCCGCTCTCTGTCCCTCCCTGCACCTCTGTATGCTGCTCTCGCCCCATGCAGCTGCACTCAGGACCTGTGGCCTCAGAACACACCAAGGGTGCTCTCTGAGTGGCCAGCACCTTTCCTATCAGCTCAGTGTTGCTATTCCACTTTTTTAGGCAGAGGCTCTGAGGTTTGGGCTTGTGACCCTGTTTGACCCCCAGCCCAGGGTACTGGTTGTGACCCTGTGACCCTAGCCCTACGTAGTGACTGCCCTGATCACGAGGCCCCCTCTGGCCTCTTGGATTTTCCTCTGTTGATAGCTGCCATCTGGGGCAAGTGCTCTGCAGAGAGAGTGTGAGAAATTACATGGTCACCCCAGCATCCCTCCTAATTAAGTCTACCCCTATTCTTTGGGTCTTTTGAAATAATGGATTGCATTGTAAGTGCTTGGAGTCCCCTTAAGACGTCACTAAAGATAAGTGCAACCAGCATTTGTGTCCCTCCCTACACCCTGGGACCAGCCACCAGGGCTGCTCTGTGTGTTCCTGCTCTGATGGTTTTTTGTTTTTTTAAAAATATATTTTATTGATTTTTTACAGAGAGGAGGGGAAAGGGATAGAGAGAAACATCGATAAGAGAGAAACATCGATCAGCTGCCTCTTGCACGCCCCCTACTGGGGATGTGCCCGCAACCAAGGTACATGCCCTTGACCAGAATTGAACCTGGGACCCTTGAGTTCGCAGGCCGATGCTCTATCCACTGAGCCAAACCAGTTAGGGCAGCTCTGATGGTTTTGCAGCTTGTCCTGCCCTGCCCTTGCCCTGGGGAATCCAGGCAGGGTCCTGTGGTCTGCATGTGTTTCTTATGCTCTGGACTCACTCAGGAGTCTCCCACTGCCCCTCCTGTTGCCTCTTGGCATGCTGCCTGGACAAGGGCCGTGGAGGTGGGAGCTGCAATCATCAGTTCAGGATCTGTGAACTGGGTCACCCTCAAGGAGAGCTAAGTCCTCTGTGATTCCTGCTGGAGGGAGAGTGCACCTCCGGCCTTTTGCATGGACATCTTCCTCCCCATGATCAGCTTAGGGACTTTGTCCTTAGCTCCTCTGAGTGGATCCTAAATCCATTGAAAAGAGCAGGGTCCTCTCTTTTCATCAAGTCTTAATTCCCTTTGCCTAGTTTGTTCCTTGAGGACATTGTTCATGCCAGTAAAATCCCAGAACCAGAGTCATGTTTATTTAATGAGAGACGCTCTACTCGCAGAAGCAGGAGCTGGACCTGCTGCAGGGGACGTGGGGCGGATCACCTAGTGGTCAGTAACGAGGCCAAAACAAGGTTCTGAGTGAGGTTTGGAAGAGGCTTGCATGCTTCGTGGAAACATGGCCTCCAGGCAGACCCGGTTATAGGGGACTGCACACCACTGCCCATTCTGCATCCAGGGCCAGGCACCACTGTGGTCCAAAGGTGGCAGGGCCCATCTCCTGAGGGGCGATTGTGAACCTGGAACAGACTTCTAGAAACACAGGGAGAGCGTGTCCCCCCTTTTCCATGGGCCTCCTGTGCTTTCCCCTCCTCTGATCACACTGGCCTTACCTCTCTGAACGTCCCTCACTTGCACCCACCACTCCCATCTCATCCTTCCCACATCCTTGCACTTAGAGCTGCCTCACATCTCTGGCCTCTCCTATGCGTACAGATTCATATGTAGGGAGGCCAGAGATTGAGGGGCCTTCCAGGTGTTTGTTAGCTCTATAATTATGCTACTGATGGTCTTATTACAATTGTAGTGGTTTTCCTTTGGTTAATTTTACATTTAAAAGCACAGGTAGCCCTGGGGTAGGCTGGAGCAGGCAGGTTGACCCTTGGCGCCTGTATGGCGGTGGTAGTGACCTGGAAGCCCACGAAGATGTGGACTCACACAGAGTGAGACTGAGACATGAAAAGCCACAGCTTCCTAGCATCATCTTTGAGATTCAGGCAGCTCTATCCTCTGCGGCCCTCCTCTGCCAGCCTTTCCTCCTGCCACCAGAGTATAAGCCTTCTCGGTTAATAGCCCCTGGGGAGGAAGGTTCCATCCTGGCTTCTCCTGGGGAGGCCCAGTGACCACTCGAGAACAAGCAGACTGGGAGCTTGTCCTCGTGTGCATGTGTTTGTTCTCACATATGTGCTTTGGGCCTGTGTTAAGGGAGCATCTGGTGTGCTAAATGCCCCAATTCTACTGCCTGCTCTAACATGACACCCCCATCTTGCAATCCTTCACACTGTGCTCCCCTCTCCCTGGGGTTAGGCAGCATCTCCTGTGGGCCCAGAAACCCTGAAATTGTTGTGTGTTTTTAAAAATATATATTTTTATTGATTTCAGAGAGGAAGGAAGAGGGAGAGAGAGATAGAAACATCAATGATGAGAGAAAATCATGGATTGGCTGCCTCCTGCAAGTCCCCCACTGGGCATGTGCCCTTGACCGGAATCGAACCTGGGACCCTTCAGTCCTCAGGCCGATGCTCTATCCACTGAGCCAAAGCGGCCAGGCCCTGAAATTGTTGACCATCCTGCAGAGAAGGCCTGTCCTGCATGAGGGTTACGCGTGTGGTGGATATGGGCATGTATGTGCCCAAATATGGATGTGTCAGGACTTCATTTTTCATAATCTCATTAAAAATCTCTTGGCTGAAACCTGTCCTGTAATCTGCCCTAGTGTTGACTATCTTTGCCACGGGTTTTCACACGTTGGTGCTTCCTTCCTGGTGGGTGGGCTGGTCTTGAGCCTGGCGCGTATGTGGGTCTGCCCACATCACACCTGTCTTCTCTCCTCGCAGCTGGTCAGCATTGGCTCCTCCTACAACTATGGGAGTGAAGACCAGGCCGAGTTCCTCTGTGTGGTCTCCAAGGAGCTGCACAACTCCCCGTACGGCACTACCAGTGAGCCCAGCGAGAAAGCCAAGGTGAGTAATGGTGGGCCAGCAGGCAGGCAGCAGCCCTGGGTACTCTGGCCTCCTGCCAGTGGAGGGGGCTTGTGTGGGCAGAAGGCACCCTTTGTAGGGTTGGTTTTCCCTTCAAGCGTTATAGTTCCTTGCTGTTCTCATTGCCCTCCCTGCGATGCAGGCTTCCTGGCACTCGCTCACCTGGGCTGCTTGTTCATTATCCTGTAATTCTCGCATGAGTGTCATAGGCACAGTCCTGTAATGGAGGACGTATACGCCGTAGGATGTGGTGGGTCAAGAGGTCTTTGGACACAGGCTTCCCCACAGGGTGAGCCCCTGCGGCTTTCACAACCCACACTCTCCGCCGACTTGCTCCTGGAAGTGTGTGGCTGTGCTTTAAGTGACGCCACCATTTGTGGGCTGTTTTCCTGGAGATTTGGGACCAGGAGATTTGGGACCAGGAGGCTTCCGGGTGGGGCCCGAGTGGCACCTGCCCTGGCCACATCCATCCTGAATTGGGAGTTGAGTTTGGTTTGTAAAAGAAGTGGATCCTGCGGGTTCTGTTATTTTAGAGTCCATGGAGTATTGTCTCAGCCTGGCCCTGGCCAGTACCTATATAAACTGGCACCACTCCCTACTGGGTACCGGCTTTTCTGTCTCTTGGGCAGGGCAGTGCAGCCAGGGCCAAAGTGGAACTGCCATGTCATTTGCTTCCAAGTTAGCCTTGTGGCAGGGAGCAGCAGCTGGCCTTCCCCAGAGGTGGAAAAAACTAGTGGCATCTCCTCTGGGTTTGTTTCTGAGGTCAGGGATTGCAAGACAGACGGAACCTAGCGTTGGCCCCGACTGGCTGTAGACCTTTGAACCAGGTGGTAGCCAGACAGTCCTACAGCCAACCTCGGGAGGAGAGGTAGGGAAGAGGGTGGCGGGGGGGTGGGGTGGGGGCGTCTAAGCAGCCTTAGCAGAGCCCAGGAGGTGGGGGCAGGCTCTGTGGCAGCCCCGGTGAAGGCTCAGGGTGTTGTCTGCCAAAGGGCATTTTGAGTGAGTTTAGGAATAGTCCAGAGCCAGAAGGATTAAAAAAAAAGTGTTTTTATTGATTTCAGAGTGGAAGGGGGGAGAGAGAGAGAGAGAGAGAGAGAGAGAGAAATGAACATCAATGATGAGAGAGAATCATCAATCGGCTGCCTCCTGCACGCTCCCCACTGGGGATCGAACCTGCAACCCAGGCATGTGCCCTTGACCGGAATCGAACCCGGGACCCTTCAGTCTGCAGGCTGATGCTCTATCCACTGAGCCAAACCGGCCAGGGCTAGAACCAGAAGGATTTTAACTGATCACATTAACCCGGGGCTCCCAGGGCTTTTTCAGACTGGCTGGCCACCACCTGCTCAGAACCACCCCTGTGAACCTTTTAGGGTCTTTCTTGGAGGTGTGGGCTTGGCAACTAACAGCAGAGTCACTGACTGCTGGCCCTCCACCGGCTCCAGGCAGCATTCTTACCATCGTAAAAAATATATTTTATTGATTTTTTACAGAGAGGAAGGGAGAGAGATAGACTATCAGAAACATCGATGAGAGAGAAACATCGACCAGCTGCCTCCTGCACATCTCCCACTGGGGATGTGCCCGCAACCCAGGTACATGCCCTTGACCGGAATCGAACCTGGGACCCTTCAGTCCGCAGGCCGACGCTCTATCCACTGAGCCAAACCGGTTTCGGCTCCAGGCAGCATTCTTACCATCGTAAGATTGTCCATGCCAGGGTCCACCGAGTCCTCAAGTCCCCACCCTGCCCTTCTGCAGTGCTTGCGGCTAAGTGTTCAGGTGTGGGCTGTCCTGCTGCTGCCCAGGACAGGACAGCGTGGGGGATGGTGCAATTTCCCTACACATGCAGGCACGCCAGGGATGGAGGAGTCACGGAGCCAGGTCCTGGGGACGTACCTCCCACAGAATCAGGGGTGGAGGTGAACCCACCTCCCTGCGATCCCCCAGCCTCATGAGAAGGCACATCTCTCTCTGAGCAATTGCAGGACTCATAAGTTGTTTATTTTTAGAAGCTTTTATTTCTGAACTTGACAAGTTTTCATGGCCGAGCTCAGCAGGGCAGCCACCCATCCTCATTTCCTTTAGGTGGTTTTTCAGCTGCAGAAGAATGTGTCTGTGCTATGAGGGAGCTCCTGGCATAACCCCAAATTTGTCATTGAAAATGCGGCCCTATTTCTCTCTCTAAAAATACCTGGCTCTGAAGTGTGGTGGCCACAGTGACTTCTAAATGGGGGCAGTGGCAGGAGTTCCCGAGGATGTGGCGCGGTTGGGTCCTCTGGAAAGCCATGGAAAACCATTGGGGCTGGATTGGGGACGGTGCTTTGGGGACACCCACGTGCGGCCTGGTTGTAGCAGTGCTGCACGTCCTGAGGGTAGTGAATGTCACTACTGCGGTCTTACCTGTTCACCAGATGAGAGCCTGCAGCTCGTAATAGCCTCCCTTGTCAAGGTGGCAGTTGCCGGAAAGAGCAGGTGGGGATGGGGCATCCCATCAAGGGGAATGGCCCACACAAGTGCTACCAAACCCACCACCAGCTGCAAGTTCAGGGGCTTCCCAACCCTGCAGAGAAGCCCCTGCTTTGATTCCATGTTTTGCCAGAAGTATTCACAGAACTCACTGCTGTTATGCTCACGGTGACGATTTATTACAGGAAGTACAGAGGGAGGATTCAGATGTACCAGGATGCTCTCTTAGCCTCTAAGTCCAGAGAGTTTACTGGGCTTGGTCCCACAGACATGATTGATTGATGATTAATCACCCACATACCTGACTGCAATCTCCAGCCTCCTGGCCGATTGATCCTGCCTCCCATCACGTTGTCAGACTGTCCAAGTGTAACCAGGAACCGAGTGCAAAGCCCAGACCTCGGTTAGGGCAAGGTTCAGTTCTTCACTACGAAGGGGGAAGGACTACTCGGGCACTTTGGGAATGCCAGGGCCCAGGGACGATGGGGCAAGGGAGATGCTTGAGCCCCGTGTTCCTCCATGGTGTGATCTGGTCGTGTACGTTTGGGGCCCAGCCCCCCAAGATGAGGCTTGGTCTGTGAAACAATGGGAGTTCCTGGCCCTGAGCATCCATGGTCCCTGAGGACTCTCTGGGCCGGCTTCCCGCTGCTGGCCCCTGCTTTGCCCTGCACTGATGGTGTCCTCTCTTCTTCTCCCTTGCCGCATGCTGTGTGCCGAGCCAGAGTGATGACGAGGAGACGGGTCACGATGGGAATGACTCAGATTAAGTGTAAATGTCCTGGTGAGCTCTGCCGCCCTTGCAATGGACCCCGTACCTCAGTTTCCTTGACCCAGCCCCTCCTCTGCTGTGTCTGTCTCATGCCTGTAGTTGACAGAGAACTTTCCACACTAGTTGCCAGTTGCGTAGACCTGCAGTAGAGCTGGCCTGCCTGGCAGTGGGCTGTCTGTCCCTGTAGGACGCCTGTCTGGGTGAGACTGAGACCTTCGCTGGGGGGCCTGAGAAGGGTGTCAGGCCTCCTCACCAGGCTGCCAGCCTTCCCACCCTGTTGCTGGGCCATGGGGGCCGAAGAGGGGGGCTGTCATGCAGAAGGTGGACTCTGATCCTGAAGCCAAAGTCCGGAGTGCCTCTACTCCCAGGTGCCTCGGCAAAGGATGCTGGTGGAGAGTGTGTGGGTCCTCTTCCGTGTGCCTCCTTAGGCCCCAGCGGCTCCTCACTGCTTTGCCACCTCCCAGCCTCTCTCATTGCCTGAGATTCATAGGCCCAGCCGGTTCCAGAACCCATCTTTGTTCTCTGTTAGCAGGAACCACCTGGCCTACTCCCTTGTCTTGCACACAGGAAGTCGAAGCCCAGAGAGGGCAGGTTGAAGGTGGGTGAGCCAGGCATCATCCTGGGGTCCCCTTCTCCCACCAGGGACCCCCTTGTAGACTGAGCCCTGCAGGTTGGGACCCTCAGCCTTTGTCCTGAGAGGAGCTCAGAAAGGCAGGAGGCACTGAGAGGCCAACCCTCTGGCCATGAGAAACTTAGACTGGGGGCTTTTTTTACACTTTCAGTGGTTGGTGGTTTTTTGTTGTTTTTTTTTTTGGTGGGGGGTGATTATATAACTACATAACATCCTCCATTTTGCCCTTTGACCCATAAATCCTAAAATATTTACTTATATGATTACATGACTCTTTAAGAAAATGTTTGCTTAGCACAGGTCTAGACCCGTGGCTGGCAAACTGCGGCTCGCGAGCCACATGCGGCTCTTTGGCCCCTTGAGTGTGGCTCTTCCTAAGCCTTAGGAGTACCCTAGTTAAGTTAATAACAATGTACCTACCTATATAGCTTAAGTTTAAAAAATTTGGCTCTCAAAAGAAATTTCAATCGTTGTACTGTTGATATTTGGCTCTGTTGACTAATGAGTTTGCCGACCCAGGACATGCAGCATAAGCTCCATCTATCTTCTCAAACTCTCTAGCAGCCACATTAGGAAGAATGTGAAATTGATGCTAGTGCCCCTTTTTTTTGTTTGTTTTGTTTTTGTTAATCCTTACCTGGGGGTATTTGGATATTTTTCCATTGATTTTTAGAGAGAGGAAGGGATGGGGAGAGACAGAGAGAGAAATATTGATGTGAGAAAGACACACCCATTGGTTGCCTCCTGCACATGCCCTGACCAGGGCCAGGGATCGAGCCTGCAGCTGAGGTACATGCCCTTGACTGGAATTGAACCTGGGACCCTTCAGTCCATAGGCCAATGCTCTATCTACTGAGTTAAACCGGCAAGGGCTATGCTAATACTCTTAATTCAGTGCATGCAAAAGGTATTTTAATTTGAACCTAAAAAATCATTGGGATACTTTATGCTTCTCACTTCAAAGTCTCTGAAATCAGGTGTATAGTATGCCTTTGTGGCCCTTCTCAGTTTGGGGCCACATCTTAGTTGGCTCAGCAGCATATGGACAGCAGGTCCTAGACTTTGGCCTGATGGTGACCACTGATGGGAACTGTGATAGGAACCTGGCGAGGCTTTAGGGGAGCTTGGGGGAGCTGTACCTACTGGTTAGCTGCCAGGAACTGGCACTGGGCCTACACTGGAGAGGGACAAGGGGACTTCTTTCAGCTCCCCTTCTCAGTTATTGATTTTGCATCTGCTGGCTGGAGCTGCTGTGGTGGCCCTCATTAAGGTCTGGGCTGTGGGTGTGGGCTGATCACAGAGCAGCCCTGGAGCTGCCCTAGCCTCCGGATCTGCCTAGGCCTGCCTGAGGGGTGCTGCTCGTGGTGCATGGCCTGCCCTGGTCCCTGAGGGGGGTGGCCCAGGTAAGAGCTGTGTCCAGGGCAGACAGGGCTATGACTGTCACAGGTCCTCGGAGGAGGGGTCTTCTGTCCTCGTTAGGAGATAGTTGTTGGGGCTCCTGCTCTGGCAAGGCAGCCCTTCCTGTATTGTCATGTTGCTCTCAGGCCACGTTCCGGTTATGTGGGCCTCATCATGTGTGTGGGCCTCATTGTTTTCACCACTTAGTCCTGCGAATTCAGTCACTCCCTCTACTCTGCTGGGCTCCCACAAAGTGAGGGCAGCTCTGTACTTCCTGGGGCCCTGCCAGCCCTAGCTTTCCCTGCAAACAGCAAAGATAAAGAGTCGCAGCCTGGGGCTGTGACTGGCACCTGGGGGCAGGAGGGACTTGCAGGGGCTGATCTGGGCCTTTGCTCCCCCAGCACAGCGGAAGGTGTGCCTTGCATGGGCTGTCTGCAGCCCCAGAGCTCTCAGACTCAGGGGGCCCAGACCTGTGGACCAGCAGGGGTGGAGGGGTATGAGACAGCTGGAGCAACTCCCAAGAATTTGTGCCCTTTCTTGAGTCATTCAGATGAGCCTAGATGACTGAGGGACTGTGCCTACTAGGGGCGGTGCCCTGGCTGGTGAGTTGGGGGCCAGCAGACACTCAGTGTGAGCCTGAGGATTTTGCCTCTTCCCTACAGGGTCTTGCTGGGGGGCAGTGAACCTCACTCTGGCCAGAGCATCCGTGTGGGTCTGGGCCTGGCACAAGCAGAACTGGCTCCCTCCCAGGGCATATCCCCGTGTTGTGCCTGGGCCCCAGGGCTCAGAAGCACACAGTGTCCTCGAAGCCATATCTCTCAGCTCTGAAATTCAAGTGCAGAATGCCCTGGGCGGCTCGCTCTTACACTGCTGATGCGATCCCAGGGAGGGTCATCTTACAGCATTGGCCTTGGCTAGGCTGGGCTAGGCTGGGACTTGTGGCCTATCTGTCCTGGTTACCTGATGCTTAGCAGCCATACTTGATGTATGGAAACAATATTTGCCAGCCCTGAAGCCCCCACCTAGGGGACACAGGGTGGTTCCAGCTCCTCCACCGGTGTGGGGTTCAACTCCATAGGCATTTGCCAGTGCACAGGTGTGTCCCCAGGTGGCTCCAGGCCTTGAGGAGCTCCCCAGCCCGATTTGGAAGTGGATGGGATGCACAATTGATCCCAGTGGTGAGGGAAGGGCTGGGTGGGGTGGACGGCTGCTCCGGCCCTGAAATGCCAAGGAAGAGTGGGAGGGAGAGAGGCGGCTGTTGGCAGTCCATGGGGCCTGCTAAGGAGCTGTCCCCCCTCCAGCCATGCCTGTGTCCCTCAGCTCCTGGAGGAAGCCCAGGGAGGCACCTGGTGGAGGCGGGAGCGTGCCTTTCTGATGTCAGGTTGGGATGGAGGGTTGAGAGAGTTGGAGGGGCCAGCCCCTCGTGTAGGCCAGGAGGTATGCAAGCCAGGCCCCTACATCGAGGGTCAGCTGGGCTGAGCCCCAGCCTATTCTCAGACCTTAGCTGTGGTACTGGCTTCCTCCGGCCCCTGAGCCGAGCCGTCTGTAGGCTGATTGGGGTCTGTGGGCTCCACTTCCTGAAGCAGGGCACTTGGTTCCAGGGCTGCGTGTTCCCACCTCCCTGTGCAAAACCCAAGTCCTCATTCTCTGCATTTGGCATTTTCAGATTTTGCAAGAACGAGGTTCAAGGATGTGAGGAGCACAATGTTGACAGCTGATGAAACGTTTTACTTTTCCCAAGATGAAATGAACCGCCATGTCGAGGAAGCTTGGCTGTGAGAAGAAACCTGCTTTTGACAATTTTCTATAGAGATCTGGGTGTGAATCCTTTTTTGCCTCTGAGGTGGGTGGTGAGAGACGTGACCAGCTGTCCAAGTCCGGGCATCCCCCACTAGGAGGAGGTGTGCCGGCCAGGCGGGCGTTGCTATGGGAGCCTTCGCTCGGTTTTTCCAAGTGCCACACAGGCCCGAGGAAGGATGCTCCTGACCGACCCCTTTAATCACCGAAGATCATTTAGAGGACAGCGTTCTTGGTGCTACATAAACAGTCTGTAACGGAGCCTGGGCCTTGCTGGTAGGAAGTGGTCACAGTGCTGTGGCCCCAGGCTCTGGGTGTCCGCTGGTCACCCCACCGCACCAGGCCCTGGTTCTCGGGTCAGAGTCATGCCCAGGTGTGACTGGTTCTCACAGCCTTGGGCAGCTTTTGACAGAGGCGGCCTCTGTATGTTCACTACTTCCTGGACCCCCACCCTAAGGCTGGGCCTCCTTCAGAGCCATGTTCCCCTGGCCTGACCTGGCCTGGAACAGTCAAGTCTTCTTCACTTGTATTTTCCAGGCAAGAGACCTTTGCATCTCTTATTTCCAGTGTGGATAGACTTCCCAATGTTTTTACTTTTTAGAAATGCCTAAAAGTGTTGCTGCATTTTGGATTGATCTGTTAAGTCCTTTAAAGGGAGGTAGAAATTTTGTTCCTCCCACCCATGGGCTCTTGGAGGAGCTGGCGCTCGTCAGTGCCTTTGTCTCGCCTGGGATGGAGGTCAGGCGGGAGGCCTGTCCACCTGGCTTCCGGAGCTGAAACTCCGGGTCACGTTGAAAATTGGATGTTTACAGCGCATCACACATATTTCTCTTTCTTGCCGGCTCTTTCATTTTCTTTGTATAACTATGCAGTTCTCTCTGATATTTCTGGGATGTTTGAGACTCCACACATGGGCTCTGCCCACCTTACATGACATTGGAACTACTAGGATTCCTTTAAAACCTGCTGTCCACACGCTTTGAGAACAGACCTTTCTGAGCTGGTCGTGGAAACTGTTAGAGTCTGGGGGACCTGGCTCGGACAAGCAGCTCTCTGCTTCCTGACCTACGGCTTCCCCCGGGAGCTGTGCACACTGACACCGGGGCTGCTGACATGCCGGCAGAGTCTGGCACGTCTAGTTTCAATGCTTCCGGAGGCATCTCACCTGTGCCCTCTTCTTCTTTGCCAATAAATAACCTGATTAACCAAGTTCTCCAGCACCTAGGACTTACCTACTCCTTTTTGTAAGGTCTGTTGTATGTTGTTAAATGTTTGGCTTCAACCATTTATAGCAACCTTTCTATAGGGCCTATTTAGCCCCTGGTGACCCGTTTTCCTCATGGAGCCTTGGGAGGAGGGCGGCCTTTGTGGGCTTCAGGGTATACCTGTGGGGCACTGCTGGCCGCTTATTGTTGTTTAATTTGTGACCTTGACATTCTAGATAGGCTTTTTTTTTTTAATTTAAAGATAGTAAGACCTAATTCACTAAAATTTATTCTAAGGGGATATTTATACTTTTATACTTTTTTAGGTATCCGTATTTTATCAGCTGACAGTTTAATGCCTAAGTTTCCCCTGAAAATAGCAAATAAAATTGTGTATTTATGAATGAGCAGAGCAACTGTTAATATCTTAAAATGCATGGAAAAGCTCTTGGCGACACTGGGCATGGTTAGTGGCCAGGGAGGAGCTGGGCCGTCCACCTGTCTGTTACTGACCAGCCTGGGGATTGGCTAGGGGGTGAGTGCAGCACATGTCGGGGGACAAGATCATCTTTGAGTGACTTATTTTAAAGCACTGATGCCTCATCAAGTTTAGTGTGCCCACCTGTCTTGTCTCTTACTCTGGCCAGAAACACCAGCTTCAGATTCCTTCACGTCCTTGGGCACTGCGAGCCTCCCACCCCCGATGCCACCCTCCCCGCAGTCGCTCTGGCTCCCACTGGTGGCCGCTGTGTGATAGCTCCTGAGATGCTCTCCACGCTTTAGGGAAATTCCTGTTCCTGTGTCCCCTGGAGAGCTCTGGCTCGCTGAGGCTGGCTAGGATGTCCTCGATCATCAGGTTTTGGAGTCTCCGGCAATCCACACCTCCAGCCTCTCGGGAGTGTCTGTCTTGTTTCCAGGTGTGGGGCCCCTGGCCAGGCTGGGTGGGGACCTGTTCTGCCTGCCCAGGCTGGGGGTAGGAACTGCCTGCCTGGGGGCTGGGCTCGTCCATAGCTCCGTGTACAGCCCGGGCACATGGCAAAGGACTCCAAGTTCTGCTCTGAGGAGTTTGCTTTCTGAACAGACTAAACTTGGCATCACCCAGCTCCCTGATGTCAACAGAAAACCTGCACATGCCTCTAGTTCCCTCTGCCAGGCGGGTACTTGGGAGAGGTTCCAGAGTATATCGGTGTCCCTGTCACAGTCCTCAGATTGTCTTCTGTTTAGCCAAGGACTGGAAAGGAAATAGCCATCTAATCTGGGTCCTGAGGTTGATGAGGGAGCCCTGCCCCTCGGTCCTCATCCCCCAAGCATAGCCTGCCTGCCATGGGGGTGTGTGAGGAGGGGCAAGTGACAGCTTTCGGGGCAGCCTCGGGGCCACCAGCCCTGTAGCTCCAGGAAGCCAGAGGACAGGACAGGAGGGGAAGGCGGGTGCTTGGTGTGTGCAGGCTCCCTTCGAGGATCCCCAGCTGCTGGGCCTCCTGCAGAGCCCATGTCTGGAACCTTCCACGGCTCTGCACAGGGGCAGGGCACCAACCCTTGACCCCTTGCTTTGCCCCTCCTCTCCCCTGTGTTTACTTGTGTCCACCCAACAGGTGCTTCTGGCATCTTTCGTCTTGCCCTGAGCTGGTGGCAGTAGCTGGTGGGTGCCCTGTTACCCACCGGTCACTGAGCCCTATAGGGGCAATGAAGAGTCAGCCTGTAGGGAATCTGTTAGTCCCACGGAGCCTGTGGCAGGCCTGCGGGCGCTGAGGCCCAGGTGCGCCTTCAGCGGAAGCTGCTCCACTTCAGCACCTTCGGAGCGAGCTGTGCTTCCCTGAGACAGACTGAAACTCTGACACATGCACAACCCCCGGGTGGAAAGAGGTGAGTCTCTGGCTTTAGGGGCTTTGATTTACACCCCTTCTTGTTGTCCCCTGCTCCATGCCTCCTGAGCACCTGAGCTCTTGGTGGTGCACAGACCTAGGGCTCTGCTCGAGGCACAGTCAGGCATCCTGCTACATCAGAGCCATGGCTGACCTCTGGTCCTTGAGGCTAGAAGGTTCTCCAAAGTGTTCTTCCTGCTACTGACCTAGACCTGGTCCTGCCACACCCCGCCTGGCAGCTGGCTCCTGAGGTTCTGCTTGGAGACAGTGGAAAGTTGTGTCAGAGCCACACCCCTGCCAAGGGTGGGCAAGGGGACTGGTGACAGATGGGGGCATGTCTTTCCTTAACCTCCGTTCACAGTACTAAGTGTGCTGTGAACTGTGAAAGGCATGAAATACATCTGCTTTCCCTTTTAATCTCCTGGTCTCTCCAAGAGTATTTGCCCTTCCTCTCCACAGCCCGCTGGTCGAGCATCTGCTCTGGGTCTGGGCGGGGACAGTGTTGGGGGAGCCCAGGGATGGGGGAACTGTGTCCAAGGTCATGTGCTGGCCACCACCTTGGCTGCATCAGGGGCCCCACCTGGGACCCCAGACTCACCCTCCCAGCCCAACTGGGCGTGGTGCCACTGGAGGCTAGGCTGCCCTGCCATCTGTGCCCCTCCTCATTGGCCCCACAGAACCTGACCAGACGCCTGCCCTGTAGTAGATCAGGAGGGAGTGTTCATGGGGGACTCCAGGCCACAAAGAAAGCTGGGACAGCAGGCTGGAGGAGGCAGAGACAGGGTGGCAAGTCCTCTGAGAGGAGCCTGCTCTTCACCCATCTCCAGGCAGTAAGGCTTCCTTCTGGCCTCCCACAGAGGCTGCAGGGAGCTTTCCCCCAGAGACCACCAATCTCCAATCACAGGCCTGAAGCGTCCCTTTTTAAAAAAAATATGTTTTTATTGATTTCAGAGATGATGGGAGAGGGAGGGAGAGAGAGAAACGTCAATGATGAGAGAGATTCATTGATCGGCTGCCTCCTGCACACCCCTGCTGGGGATCGAGTCCAAAACCCGGGCATGTGCCCTGATGGGAATTGAACCGTGACCTCCTGTTTCATAGGTCAATGCTCAACCACTGAGCCACACCAGTTAGGCATGAAGCTTTTTTTGAAGGTGGGGTTTGTTTTTTTATTATAAAAGAAAAAATAATTCCTCAGAATCTTAATAAGTGGAAAGGAATATTTCACACTCAGAACAGACACCAGGATACAAAATTACAAGTGTTTAGCCCCAGTGCTGTCCCCCTCCCCTCTAAGAGCAGACAGGAAGGAGACTGGAAGCAAACCAGCAATTCTGTAAAACAGAGACTTCAAATTCCTGCAAATATGATTAAAATCTAAATTGGTTTTGCTTAAAAAATTTTTTTAATACATCAAAAGGCTTGTTTTAGTGACATGCTAGTTCCCTAGAAAATAACCCAATACCCCCTTGCCAGTAACATACATGCTCAAGTAGACCAGCCAACTCATATTTCTAAACCCCTGTGCATACATGTGTCTTTATAAACCAAAGCCAGGGGGCTCGGTGACTGCGGCTGTTTGCTCCTGTTAGCCGACCATGTCCAGAAGGGCAGGCAGGGCACAGAGAAACCCTTAAATGGTAGTGAGGGTATAAGAGCCCCTAACAGCCAACTTTTCAAGCACCGTCACCCTCACCCCCCCTCAAAAGGAGGGCCTTATTTCTAACCAGGCTCCTCGCCTCAAATTTGGCTCCCAGTGACCAGAACGGTTTTTCTCCTTTAGAAAAAGCACACATATCCACACACCCATATATATAATTTTTTCTCATTTAAATACAAAAACAATACTCTGATTTGTGTTATAAACGGAGGACCAAGCAATGAGAACTTTTTCTTCGAAGGTAGGGCTACCCATTCTGTCCCTTTATGCTGAGCTTACCTTCCAGTGAGGGCACTCAGCCCCAGGCCAGGGAAGCAGGTCACTGCAAAGGGGTCACAGTTGGCAGGTAAGAGGGCATCTTCCTGCCTGCTGCCCCCACCTTTCCTAATTCTCACTTTAATTAGAAAGCTGGTTATGCTCTAGCTCAGTGGCTAGAGCGTTGGCCTGTGGACTGAAGGATCCCAGGTTCGATTCTGGTCAAGGGCACATGCCCAGGTTGCAGGCTCCATCCCCAGTAGGGGGCGTGAAGGAGGCAGCCGATCAATGATTCTCTCTCATCATTGATGTTTCTATCTCTCTCTTCCTCTTTGAAATCAATTTAAAAAAAGAAGAAAGCTGGTTATAACCTTTTAAGAAATGGAACTTCCCCACAAAAGGGAGTATCTACCTAACCACAGAGCACTCCCAGCACTCCTACCCCCTCAGCTCCTCAAAGAAGAAGAAGGTCCTCCCCTCCCTTCACAAATACTGTGCTCACTGTCCAGATAGCTACGCCTGTAGGACAAACACCTGATTAACTGAAGCAGTGGTTATGTTTCCCCTCCCCCCCTCCCCACTAACACACTAGAAAGCTTCAGTGATGGGGGGGGGGGGAGAAGGGTGAGTGTGTGTGTGTGTGTGTGTGTGTGTGTGTGTGTGTGAAGAGACTAAGCACTTGACCCCTCTAACCTGGCCAAAGAAAGCAAGAGATATTAACTGGGCACGAGGAATAAAAAAAGATTTTTATATTCTGCCCTGTGAGTTACATTTGTTATGACAATTGAGGGGCGAGAGTGGGAGCGGGATGAAGAAGTGATTGGAAGGAGTTGGACGGCTGCAAGTCTAGTCCACTTAGTTTTTGTACTGGACGGGCTCATCGCCAGTTTTGTTGAGAAGACACGTGTGGATGAGGGCTTCTGTCACTGCGAAGGGGTCACAGTTGGCAGAGGGGTGCCGGTCTTCAAAGTACCCTTCTCCTGGCCCACAGCCCGGGGAATGCGATGCTGGCGCTAAGGTTGGCCACGCCGGCGGAGAAGTCATTGATGTTGGAGGTTTCATTGGATCCAGTTAGCCGCCGGGCATTGTCCCGGCCCCCCTGGGGCTCGTAGGCTCGGATATGGTACTGGTGCCGCCTGCTCAGCCTCTCGATGGACTCCTCTGTACTTCAGACCGTTCTCTCGCATGGCCTTGGTGCTGAAGTCGGTGTGGCCGTCTGCACCATCCCAGTTTCCAGGAATGGCCTTGGGATCAAAGGTTGCTATCACTCCAAAGTCTTCACACGCTCGGTGCAAGATGAAACAGGCCACTCAGAGATGCTCTCCCATGTCGATTCCTTCACGGAGTCCTATCTGGAATTCCCACCGAGCGGGCACGGCCTCGGCATTTGTCCCTGCGATCTTGATGCCAGTGTACAAGCAGGCCCGGTAGTGAGCCTCACAGTATCCCTGCTGTAGGCTCTGTCTGCTCCCACGCCGCAGTAGTGCTCATGAGAGTATATTCCTGCTCCATTCCAAACCAGGGATGCTGATTGCTCATCATGTCCATTATCCGTTTGCAGGTATATCTTAAATTAAATTGGTCTCTGCAGGTTTGCGGTTGTACTTTACGACTTCACAGAACACCAG